CCCTCCTCTGTGTGTCTCCTCCTGCCCCCCCTCTTTTCTTAGCTGCGGGGATGGGGTGGGGAAAGGTTCCCTTGTTCTGTCTGCAACTCCCAGGAAGGTCCCCGCTGCCCCCCTCTGCCTCCATGTAAGCAAAGGGGGAGCCCTCGTGTCCCCTCCCCCGTCCCACCCCCCCCATGTTGGTTGCAGAGGCAGGGGGGACTGGGGTTTGTATTTGCTGTTCCCAAGAGATCTGGGCAGACCGCCCGGGCACTGACCCGTGTGCAGGTTTGGCCTAGTCTTTGCTACAGATGTGGGTGGCTGGGGGGGGGACGGTTACAGCCGCCCCTCCTTACCTCCAGGCCAGCACAGCGCTGAGACCCACGTGCTGCTCTGGGCCCTGCTTCGCAGCCAAATGGGGCCTGTCCAAAGGTATCCCCAGCAGGTGAACATAAGAACGGCCGTACTGGGTCAGACCAAAGGTCCATCTAGCCCAGTATCCTGTCTGCCCACAGTGGTCAGCACCAGGTGCCCCAGACAACGATCAAGCAATTTGTCTCCTGCCATCCTTCTCCAGTCTCTGACAAACAGAGGCCAAGGACACCATTTTATCCCCTGGCTAATAGCCTTTTATGGACCTAACCTCCATGAAATTATCCAGCTTCTCTTTAAACTCTATTATAGTCCTAGCCTTCACAGCCTCCTCTGGCAAGGAGTTCCACAGGTTGACTACACGCTGTGTGAAGAAGAACTTTCTTTTATTAGTTTTAAACCTGCTACCCATTAATTTCATTTGGTGCCCTCTAGTTCTTCTATTTAGGGAACTAATAAATAACTTTTCTTTATCAGCCCTCTCCACACCACTCATGATTTTATAGACCTCTATCATATCCCCCCTCAGTCTCCTCTTTTCTAAACTGAAAAGTCCCAGTCGCTTTAACCTCTCCTCATATGGGACCCATTCCAAACCCCTAATCATTTTAGTTGCCCTTTTCTGAACCCTTTCCAAGGCCAAAATATCTTTTTTGAGGTGAGGAGACCACATCTGTACACAGTATTCAAGATGTGGGCGTACCATAGTTTTATACAGGGGCAGTAAGATATTCTGGGTCTTATTTTCTATCCCTTTCCTAATAATTCCTAGCATCCTATTTGCCTTTTTGACTGCCGCTGCACTCTGTGTGGAAGTTTTCAGAGAACTGTCCACGATAACTCCAAGATCTTTCCTGATTTGTCGTAGCCAAATTAGCCCCCATCATACTGTACGTATAGTTGGGGTTATTTTTCCCGATGTGCATTACTTTACACTTATCCACATTACATTTCATTTGCCATTTTGTTGCCTAATCACTCAGTTTGGTGAGATCTTCTTGGAGTCCCTCACAGTCTGCTTCTGTCTTGACTATCCTAAACAGTTTGGTAACATCTGCAAACTTTACCACCTCACTGCTTACCCCTTTCTCCAGATCATTCATGAATAAGTTGAAGAGGATTGGTCCCAGGACTGACCCTTGGGGTACACCACTAGTTACCCCTCTTCATTCTGAAAATGTACCATTTATTCCTACCCTTTGTTTCCTGTGTGTGCGGTGTGTGTGTGTGGGGTTGAGCCAGGTTTAACCAGCACATCCACACCCCACCCCAGGACAATGGGGGGTGAGCACTGAGCCAGGCAGCTGAGAGGAGTGTGGATGCCCCTGTGAGATCAGGCATAGCAAAGGGCTTCCTGCCATGTGCCTCAGTTTTCTCATCTGCATGATGGGGAGAATGCTACGGACCTCCTTGTCAAGTGCATGGAGATCTGCGAATCTGAAGGGTGTTATAAGAGCAAGTTGTTGTGATTTCCAGCCCGAGACGTGCTCCTCTCTCCTTATCTCTTCCGCAGACCGTGTGTGTTCCAGGCACTTGGCGCTAGAGACGTTTCACAATGGTAAGTGCAGCGGATCCCTAATAGGACCGTTCCAAAACCACCAGTCGGGCCTCCAAAATTCATGGTGTTTTTTTAAATAGTGCGATTTCACAAGGTCCTTTTCGCAGCCCTTCAGGGCTGTTTGGGTCACTCGGGCCACGATTCCCAGCTTTTCTTCACCCCGCAGGGGCAAGAACCCACCGTTTTTGTTTTCGAGGAGAGCAGGGATCGCTGCCATAGGCAGCCGAAAAGACTCGAAACTCACCAGAGAAGAAGTAATGGGCTACTTGGGTCGTGCACCCTGATGCAGGCGTGTGATTGTTGTTTGTTGCTTGTTTTCGTACAGGGTGAACGGAAAGGGGTGAATAAGTATTACCCCCCTGACTTCGATCCGGCGAAGGTAAGAGCCCGGGGACTGAACGCCAGGCCTGGACACGGACACCCCTGCTGGTGCTTGGTGTTTGGGTTTGCTCTTGCCAGCTTGAACACTGTTCACCAGGCAGCCTCACGGGCCAAGTTCTGAGCTTGTGGCTGTAGCTGGGAATTAAGCCAGTCAGGGCCCACTGTGTGCCCTGGCCTGTGAAAAAGCAACAGGAGGGCAGCTGATTCAATTACTCCAGTAGATCAAAGGGTAACCTCCTTTCGAAGGGACTGCGGAACTCCCTGCTACAAGATGTTAGTAAATTTCAAAGCCGGAGGGGAGAGTCAGACAGACGTCCCGCATAGCTAGAATCACAAGGGTTCTAGGTCCACATTGTTCCTGGGGGTCAGGATGGAATTTCCTCCAGAGGTGTGTTTACACCGGCTGAACCATCTGGGATTGGCTGCTGCCACGGGGGGACGGGTCTGGGGCTCCAGTTCTAGGTACTTAGCTTGCCCTGTTCTTGAGGGTTAACGGCTGCCCTTCCGTTCTTTCCCGCACAGCACGTCTCCCTCAATAAATACCGGAACAGCCACCCGCTGCGCGAGAGAGCCCGCAAGCTCTCCCAGGGCATTCTGATCATCAGGTAAACCCGGGTGCTCCGGGGCCCTGCATGCGTCTCGAGGGAAGCGGTGGGCTGAGTGGGGCTCTAGTGCTTTGGCAGCAGGCGTCCGAGACCAGGACTCCTGGGTTCTGTTCACGCACTTACGCAGAGTGGCGCTCTCAGGGGAACATTGGGGCTACCCCCCGCTGAGAGCGGTGCAGGCACCTGCCCTAGAAGTAACGGGTACGGACGATCTGGGGGGGCTTGGCTGCAGGCGCTTGGAGGAGCTGGGGCCCGTCTGCTCCCCATAGACAGCGCCCACCCTCTGGCAGCGCGACGGTGGCATGCGGACTCGGAACGGGGCGCTGCCCGGCGGTTTGTGGACGCTGCTGCTGGCAGGTCTCGACCCCGGCTCGGCATGGTTGGCCAGGAGCACGTGGGGGTCTAGTGCTGACCGGCACCCCCTGGGTTACTCTGCCCTAGGTTTGAGATGCCCTACAACATCTGGTGTGATGGCTGCAAGAACCACATTGGAATGGGTAAGCGCCCGGTGCTCGGGACGTGCACAGCCTGGCCGGAGCCCGGCCCCCGTCAGCCCGAGGGTTGGGGTTGGGGCTGGGGCGGGTGCCTGCACGCCGTGCCACGCACAGGGAGTGGCGGAGGCGGAGAGGCAGCCTGGAGTGGCTCCCTTGGTTGCTGGCTCCTCGGCTTTGAGGGTGGGACCAGCCCCAGCTTTCATTTACTCTTTCCACCTTAAATGTACTTAGTCTGGCCGGCTGCCCCCTGCTAATAGCCACACGCGCCTCTCCTCTCCCCCTCCCCCAGGAGAGCTGGCCCTCCCCGGTCCCATGCGCGACCTGGGCCAGGCCACCAGAGGGGAGCAAAGGGGGCAAGTGGCACTGGGGTCTGGCACCACAAAACGCTGCCCCCAGCTTTCATTTACTCTTTCCACCTTAAATGTACTTAGTCTGGCCGGCTGCCCCCTGCTAATAGCCACACGCGCCTCTCCTCTCCCCCTCCCCCAGGAGAGCTGGCCCTCCCCGGTCCCATGCGCGACCTGGGCCAGGCCACCAGAGGGGAGCAAAGGGGGCAAGTGGCACTGGGGTCTGGCACCACAAAACGCTGCCAGAGCGCTACGTGGGCATGCTCTGGGCAGCACTGCCTAGCCTCTGCCCCGCCCCTGCTGCCCGAGGCCCCGCCCCCGCTGCCA